GCGGACCCTGCGGGTATTGCGGAAAACTAAACCACTCGGAGGACAATTGCTGGAAGAAAGGAGGAAAATGCTTGCTCTGTGGGAGTGCCGAACATCAAATTGCTAACTGTGCAGCTCGCCTGCGTGAGCGGCAAGGGACTCTGCCACCAACTACGACCAACCTTGACCAGTCGAAGGGAGACAAGGATGGATCGAAAGTGTCCTCTCGGGTGTACTCCTTAGAACAACATCAAGTTTTTGACCCATTAGAGGACGTGGAAGGTAATAATTTACTGAACCTGGCCAGTGAAGGGGGTACAGATTTGTTAGCTAAGTATAATGCTCAATTTAATCCCGGAGTAGTCAATGATAAGGAATTTCGAGGACGAAATTCTTTTAAGGGGGAGAGAGTGTGAGAACCCGTAAATTCCTTAATAATTCTCCTAGGGTTTTTCCTCTTTAAAGACATGTTTTCTGCATTTTCTGGCTTACAAAAATTCTCCTGGTAAATTTTGTGAGTAATTATAGTTTTTAGGTGATTTTTCTAGTATTGGAGAGTTTTTGAAAAATTAAGAGTATATAATGGACGTGGGACCCACTAGTGCGAAACGTTCGGAAAAATTCGGCCAATAAAGTTAAGTTTCGGATATTGTGTAAAATTTATCGGGTGTTAAGAGATAAGTAGAGAGTGAAATTTGATTGATGTGAGAGGAAAAGAAAGGGATAGGAATGCATTTAAGAGGTGACAAGTGTCACCATCTCATTGGACATGACTTATGATTTACTATTCATGCTTTTTGACTTTTGACCAAATTGAGTAAATATCTCCAAAATTCACTAAAAATTCACTCATTTATTCTCCTCCATAGCCGGCCCTCTCTCTCTAACAAAGAAGGAAAAACCTCTTCAATCTTCAAGCTTTCCACTAGCTCAAATCATCCAAACCAATTGCCTAAACTAGTTTCTACTCCATACAACCTTTCCATTTGGTGTTAGTGGTGAGTTTGGTGAAGTTTTTGGAAGAGCTAAGGTGGTCTACAACTCCTCTTCTCTTGTATATTAGGTAAGTGATGATTGAACATCCTCCTACACCTAATGATGTTTAATTCGTGCTTAGTGGTGGATAAAGTGATGGAATGTGTGATTTATTTCTTGATTTGAAATGAATTGGTGAAGTTTTTATTTTTTTGAGGAATTTTTTTGGTTTAATGTGATCATGGTGTTGTTGGTTGTTTATGATGGTTGATAATGAGGGGTTATGACTCTAGTGGATGTAAATGATTGATAATTGCAGCCAATTTTGGGTTTGGATTGAAATGAGAAAAGTTAGGATATCATAACCCCCTCTTCTGTCCGGTTTTGGATTATATGGTTAGAGGCCGAATTGACCTTTGCTTCAAACATGAAAGTTGTAGGTATGGATGTGTTTGAGGTGCCTGTAAAATTTCAGGTCATTTGGAGTAGTGTAGAGTGAGATATGTCGATTTTACTGTTGCTGTTCTGGGTGATCAGAATGCGCAAACTGCGTCTGAAATGGGTTGTTTTGGCTGGGATTGGTTTGAATTTTGTTGTTGGTGTCTTCTGATGAAATGTAGCTGGATGTCTTAGCTACCATATGCCTTTGGAATCAATGCATTTGGACCTGTATAAGACTGAGTTGTACGAATTACAGCATAGTGTGATTTGTGAACCTGCAATTACAGTTCTGGTTTGGTATTCTGGGCATTTTGACCTAGTTGTACTAGGATTTGGACTGAGTGGCCTTCTACATTGTTGTAGCCCTGTCTTTTAGCTTCGAGATGGTGGGTCTTACACCATCATCCGATAAGCGTAGAGCATTTTGTGTCATTACCGCATTAGGAGCCAAAACTGTTTTTGTTGTTGGGTCAAATGAGTTACATTTCCTGATTTTCTGGTTTGCTATAATGCTTGTATATGTTTGTAAAACCCTATTGGGGTTGTGATTGACATTGCTTTATGACTCGTTATCGAGTCTCATTGTACTTGCTTACGTTTCTAGGGTGACGGTGGTTCACGACATTCTCCTGACGGAAGTGCATGAAATATCACTTCCTTGAGTGGTGAGTATACTACTCACTTAATTGTTACAATGTGGCTTTGTTATATGTGAATTTGATGCCTTGAAGGCTTACTTGGCTATTGGAATTGATAGAGGTGAGGGTGTACTTAACCACCCTCACCCCTTGTGATCTCATTCATGACTGTTTACCGTTTACTGAAATACTGCAATTGATATATGAGATATTGAATTCCTTCCATGAAAACTGATTTGGTGTCGTTTGGACGAATATCCAACGGTCTTACTGTATTACTGAGCTCAACCTCGTTGGTGGTCAATTGAATCGAGCCGGCGAGGGATTGGTCGTGAAAATTGACTTGCCACGGGGACTGTACTGGGGAACCTTGTAGTAATGAGACTCTTGGTTTCGGTATACTCGAGTATTACCAAAAGCTACTGAATTGGAGTGCGGGCCCGGTTGGGGCATGTTGGGTGGAAGGAATGGAAGTGAAGTGAGGTCTACGGTCGTGTATTCTTAAACATTGACGGAGGGTCAATGAGGTTGGATCAAGATTGCAAGCGTGGAAATGGGCTCTTGAGAGCCGTCCGTATCCTTTCACTGATTTGATTTACTTCTTATTTGCATGCTTGAACTGAACGGTTACACTTACGTGATTTTAGATGCTTATGTGGTAGTAACTCACTGAGATTTATCTCACTCCGTTCCATTTGTTTTCCTTACAGGAAAATGACTATTTTGGGAAAGGTTGTGCTAGTTGGTTGTCAAGTTGAGCTTGTAAATGTATTTTTGAATAGTTCCTTGAGAGTGAAAACCCTAAGTGTTTTGTTTTCCCACCAATGGTTGGTTTGTAATTGGCTATTTGCACATGTATGGACTAGTTGGATATTTTGGTATGCCGTTTGGCTTGTAAACGTTGTATTTTAATGTACATATGTTTGGTGGATATTTGGTTGAATTTCGGATCAACTCGTATTTCAAACGGCAAAAGAAAAATTTTGGCTACTCTCGGCCTAGTGTCTGGATTCTGACGTGTCCAGCGCTGTTCATCTTCGGTTTCGAATTTCGTTTTTTTATTTTGTGATTTTGACTTGTTTGCGCGCAATGGTATGTTCCGGGACGTATGAGTTCGACATAAACTGATCCGTTAGTCCTGGCGAGAGTTGGGCAGGCAGTCCGCTAACCCCTTTGGTTCGCCTTAGGGGAAGGTGGGGCTGTTACACTTTCATTCATCCATCTCCGCACCATATTCTAGTAAACGTACCTGCACACAAGGAGCCCAAATACAATGACAAATCCAACCAAAACCCCAAGAAAAGGAAAGCATAAAAAAGTCCATTTCATCAACAAAGGTAGTAGAAACGAAATTAATTACCACACGGACGATTACTTGAGTTTATGGTATATCTAGACAATTTAAGAAAGAGAGCAGATGGACACTAGGCCTTGTTTGAAAAGCTATTTTTCCCTAAAAGAAAGTTTTATATTTTTAATTATTTTTTTATCTTGTATATATTAAATCATTACGGTACATAAAAAATAGACTTTTAGATATAATTTCATTTAAAAAATTACTATACTTTTGGGAAAGAGAGGACCTCATTAATAGAAAGAAATGCACAAGAGGAGGAGGAGGAGACAGCATGGCTGGGTGTAAAAAGCTTGAGAGATGAACTTGGGGGCAAAATCGTAATTGAACACAAATACAAAAGTCATCCCCACCGCTCCCTTGCCTAACACACACAAAACATTGACACCCACCAGTAGGGATTTGGCTCCACTGCATAGTGGATTCTCTCTCCATTTTTCTATAATGGGTATCTAAATATGTAACACGTGTCTTTATTTAATAAAAAATAAGAGTTAGGATTAGTCAAATTTAAAATAATCATGCTCCTTTGCTTTCTAGTAAAGGCACATATCATGCATAAGAAATAGAGAGAGAATTCACTGGAAAGGAACCAAATTCCTACCAGTAATCCCCTGCTCTAACAAAATGAAATTACACCATAGTCCATAGAAATAAGGGGACGAAATCTGAGCTTCCAATTGCAAACTCTCACTTTTGTAGTAGTTTAGATTGGATTTGATATAACAGAAGCTTTGTATTTTATACACAAGAAATCTCTATCCAGGGGTGCAGCCTTTAAAAGTTAAGACCTTATTTGGATTATGATCTTTTAGGAGAAAATTTTTTATGTTTTTTAGTAAATATTCCTTTTACACAATTTCAATTTTCTTTTTCGTTCACATATATCATATTTTAAAAAATTTTATTATGAAATGCCTTAGCTAAGAACTGCTAATATCATTAGCCTTAATGATTGATGGAGAAACTGATGAAAACAAGATGACCTCAAAAGAATCCACTAACCTACCCAAGAATACGTTAATTACAATATCCTTCCTCATTAACCTTTTCTTAACCTTTTATACACCTCGTCTCATTTAGTGTATTAAATTAACTTCAAAACCGAGATATTGCTTTGCTTGATGATGTAATTAGAATATTGCAGTGCCATGTAAAACACTACAAGAAAAGTGGGAAAAAAAAAGTACTAACGTGTTTCGTTAAAGTATTTGTACTCTCATTTTTATTAATCACACTTCCAATATTATTTTAATCATATAATTTTCATTTATTAAACTATCTGATAAAACAAATAGTATGAATGTAAATAACAAAAAATCGAGTACAAATAATATTTCTCTTCGTCGAACAGGACATTTTCAATATTTTATCTTACCACATAATTTTGCAAGCATGCTTCAAATTTTTTATTCTTCATCATTATTGCAAAGTGCAGCAAAATCGGTAATCGTCCTTCCAACTTCTTACCGTTATGTCCTGAAAACCGAGAAATGAATTACTGCAAATTTTACCGTTACGCATAACCGACAAAAGACTGCAAACTCCACAATCCTCCTAACGGCTAGATTTCCTTCTCCTCTATTTAAACAGATGCCCCTCCCCGCCCCACCACCACAGCCATCTCCATCTGCCTCAGAAAATCATCTTTCTTTCTCTCTATCTCTTTCTCTCGCTGTGTCTCTTTTTAGTGTGTGTTGTGCGTGTTTTTCTGCAGTAGTAAAAAGGAACTCTGAGAATGGCTTCTTCATCATCAACTATACTAGCCGGTTCTTGCCTCCTCTGCTTCTTCTTCTTCAGCTTCTCTGAAGCTGACAGAGACCTTCTTGTTGGTGGCAAGCCAGATTCCTGGCAAATCCCTTCTTCCAAATCAGATCATCTCAACAATTGGTCTCAAAAAGCACGTTTCGTCATTGGTGATTCTCTAGGTAATTAATCAATTTCTCTTCAAATTCCTTGAGATATTAAAAGTATAAAGACACATCCCTTTTCATGGTTTTATTCAACTTCTCATCCTACGGATCTGGATCTACTGACACTGAAATTTTATATCGTTTTGAATTTTTTATTGCCGTGTAATATTACTATTGCACAAAGAAAAACAGCCCTTTTGTAGTTTTATTCGATTCTCATCAACACTGAAATTCCAGTGTGACAAAAATGGCTACAGAAAACATGCATTTTTTTTTGTAGTTTTATTGAATATTTTATCCTATAGATTTTTATTAAGACTGATAATTTAAAAAAAAAAAAAAAAAAAAACCAACCCCAACCCTACTTATTTTTTAGTCATATTGATTTATCAACACTGAAATTCCTTTTTGGTAAAAAAACAAAGAGAAAACATCCCTTTTTGTAGTTTTATTGAATTTTTATCCTGCTGATTTTTATTAAAGACTGAATTTTTTTTGAAAAAGAAAGAAAAAAGGACAGGAACCCCTTCTCTTTTTTTTCCCATCATATTCATTTTTTTCTTTTAATTTGGTGCAGTATGGAATTATGATGGAACAAAAGACTCTGTTTTACTGGTGAACAAGAAGGATTATGTGACCTGCAACACATCAAGTCCAATTGAAGCACACAATGATGGGAATACCAAAATTAAGCTAGACCATTCTGGACCATACTATTTCATCAGTGGAGCGCAGGGGCATTGCGAAAAGGGCCAGAAATTGCTTGTGGTGGTTATATCTGAAAGGCATACAAGAAAATTCATCTCTCCAGCTCCTTCTCCTGCGGAGGAATTTCTTCAAGGTCCAGCTGTGGCTCCTACTAGCTCTGCTTCAGGGTTCAAAGGCAGCTTGTTTATGGTTGCTTTGGGGGCTGTGCTTTTTTGGGGCTTGTTTTGATTTGATTTGATTTGAGAACCTTTTTGTCCTTTCTTTATTTTTTGCATTTTCGGGGTTGGGAAATTCTTTGATTGAATTATTTGGCACTGTTATAAAATATCGAATAGTTCGAATTTGGCAATTCTTGAGATTATAATGGCAATAATACTTACACCCAAAAAAAAAAAAAAACCTTCTCTTTTCTCTGATAAATCACGTAACGATTTTGTACATAAAAAATATCAACAATATTCCACCAATTGACCTGACCAGAGCTATTTTTCATAAACATGATTCCAGAAAATACCTCGTATAATATAATCACGTGTGTTTTTGAACAAAAATTGATATATATAGATTACCTAAAAAACAACTATCTGAATAGATGATGGTGCAAGAACAATTGGAGATTGATGGTTGCCTCAAAGATTCATTCAATTGATTATTTGTAGTCCAATAGAACTATCCAAGGTAGGAGACGCTTGAAACCTTTCTCGCTACTAAGTTTAGAATTCGAATCATATATGAACATGGTAATTGAGAGTCAGAAGAAGTCTTAGAATCCTTTCCACTCACAACTAGGTTCAGGATTTGAAGTAGTCAAGGCGAGGGGAGTTAAGGTAGATTCCAGTAGCTAGGGTTAAGAGTGGTTAAGGTAGGGCTGCTTGACAATTTGGGGGGGAGGAGTACGGAGAGGGGTGAGAGGATAAAAAAAAGAGAGGCTATTTTCCAAGAACAAATTAAAGAGTGATAAATATAAAATTGTGTTAATCGTAAAGAGTGGTAAATATAAAATTATTGATCAGTAATACTAATTGACACAATTTCACATATTTGTATTTGGTAATATGCAAAGTGGGTTAGCTTGGGAATAACGTGGGAAACTTACGGCGGTTAGGAATAACTTGGGAAATATTTCATCCAATTCTAAACTGGATTCAAACAAAAGTAATAAAAGCAAGCTTATAGCGTTTCTAATTTGGAAAATAATTGATCCCATTCCAAAGTGGATTCAAACACAACAATTGAACCTAGTCTACCCATATAAATTACCGTAAGCGGGGTCTGAGGCTGCAAAAAGAATAATTAGCAGATAGTCTATTATTACTTGAACTTGAAGCTTCTGCTTCTCAAGTCTATAAATACCGTCAACAATCAGGCTATTCTGGCAGGGAAAAAGTTCTTTGGCATTGCAATTATGGATTTTTCAAATCTTTATTCCGATTTAATATTCGAAATCCTTGCTCGAGCTTCACTAAACACATTGGATACTTGCAAATTGGTATCCAAAGATTGGAATCGACTTGTTTACGAGTCAAATTTCATGCCTAGCTACTGCAAAAATACCTCCAATGTCTATGGCTACTTCATTCAAAATCTTGTTGCAAACCGGCATCAATTCCGGTTTGTGTCGTTCAATTCTCAGCCGCCAGAAGGGCATGATCAAACCTGCATCAGAATATCAACCCCAACTCCGGATGATGATATGAATATTCAAGCTTCTTCGAAGCAAGGAATTTTGTGTTGTGTGAGACGAAAAGGTAAACAATATCGATACTACGTGTACAAACCTAGTACACAACAATGGCAAGATTTACCTAATCCAAAGCTGCGACTAACAACTCTAAAAGTTGCTTTGGTGGTGCTACGTTCCAACCCTTTATGGTACAAAATTATCAGGATTTCACGCCCACGAGTTTCGTAAGTATTGATGAATTCTTTCCATTTTTTCTGTCACACTAATGTTAATAATCTGTTACTGTTGATTGACTAGGATTTTTTTTTTTTTTGGAGGAATTTGACTAGTAATTGACAAACTGTCAAGTACATGGGTCAGAGAAAATAAAATTGTCCCCGTAGTAGACTAGATAATCGAAGTTCTGAAAAACTTGAATGAATTCATCAGCTCATTCTTAGATTTCGTTCGATAAAATATTTTCCGATTGTTTGTTGCTTTTCTGAAATTAAGAAAAAATATCAAGCATTACTGATTAACTTCCTTAACGTTAATTATTTTGAAACACATATATCACTTTGCTTTAGGATAGTGAAATAACTTTTTTTTTCCCATATGTTAACTGTAAAATTTTATGAAAAATAATAACATTGGGAAGATTTGCTTGCATTATCTATTTTAAGTCACACAATTTCCAACAACTAATAATCCTTATATATTCCTTCCAACAACCAAGTGATACTCTGATGATGTTGTTGATTTCTATCTCCAGATAAACTTCCACGCGCAAATAAGCTATGAGCTGCAAATTTTTGTTCTCCCCTCTCTTTAAAAGTTTTGTTACTTTTTCAGTCTCTATCAGAATTCATGCATCACTCACAGTAATCAACTAAAATGATTACGTATTCTCATGGTTTCTTTCAATTTTCCACGTTTTAGGCGACCAGATTTCTATAATTACCACTGCGAGATTTTTGACTCAGAGAGATGGTCATGGAGGAGAGCAGAGGACATCTTGTTGCCGCATGGGGAAATGTTTGACAATAACCAGTCTGTTTATGCAAGTGGATTGATATACTGGCTCACAACTGAGGATAACGTCCTTGCCTTCAATCATGAACAAGAAACTTACCACACCTTTCCATTGCCTGAGCTTGTATGCAAGAATTGCGAGTACTCATGCAAGCAACTTGTAGAGTATGAAGGAAAACTTGGATTCATTTGCAAGACACCGGAAGGACATATACACTTATGGGGTGTTTTAGACCGGAAACATCCCAGATGGAAATTGATAAAAGAAGTGAATATTGATTTGCCTGCAAAGGAGGTATCATTTCCCTCCCCAGCTGGTTTCTACAATGCAGATATAGCTCTTCTGAAGGCCTTCAGAAAAATGATATTCTACAAGCTGCAAGATTCTAGTTACAATGAGATTGAGCTGCTTGATGGCCTCTGTTTTGCTGCTGATGTTTTCCCATTCCGGTCTGATTTGGAGCCTGTCAACCTGAGAGGTCGATGATTGTGTCAAAGTATAATGTGTGAGATAACAAGAGATCAAGTCTGTCTGCAGGTTGTCATGTTAGGCATTTACTTGCCGTAAATCTTGTTTTTGCCTTTTCACATTTGGAACATTTATATATTTCTTTTGCAGAGGAGATGTTGTTACTTACTCCACCTTTTGTTAGTGGAACTTCACTTCTTCATTTCGAAACTATCACAGAAAGAATGAAGTACCAGTAACAAAAGTGAAGTGCCAACATCACAATTCTTTATACATAGAATGATCATTGCACAATTGTTTGTCATGTTAGTAGTTATGTTAGAGTCATAGTATTAATAAAAGCACTAACAGTTTTGTTTGCTTTAGTTTGGCTCAAATGGTGAAAAGGCCTCTGAAATTTTTTCCATGATCATTTTATTCTTATACATTTTAGGCTGAAACACTACACATCCATTGAAACTTTGTGAATAATGCTACTAGGTTAAGTGTGCCCTTTGTCAACTTTTTGAAGCATAAGTTACAACTTGGAGTGATCACAATAACACTGAAAACAAATGGAAAACAGTGTTCAATAAAAGCTATAGATTTATTTTCCTAGAAGTCCATCTGGAAACGAAAGGAAATGCAATTTACTTTTGCCACTGGTTAAAAATTCAAATTTAGAACTTTATCTTCTTAGCAGGTTCAGGCAGGCACAATATAGCTGACTTGCCTCTCCTATTTATAGTTCAGCACAAAATTGAACAGATTATTGACTAAAAAGTGTGAAAGCCACAATTAAAACTTCAGCATTTTTGTCTTTCTTTAGCACATCTTAACTGGTAGTGGAAAGAATCGTTGGACTAACCCAGCATTGGAAATCATCAGGTTTTGCCAACAAACAATCATACGTCACCTCAAGGCAATTTCACCTAAAAACAAGAAACAAAAACGTTAGAGCACATAGCTTAACATAGGCAAAACATTCATTTTAAAAGTCTTCTGTTTGTAACATGTTGCCAATAATTCTTCCTTGTAACTGCTACAGTTGTTAAATCTACAATATTAATGGTAGTAATCTCTCATACTGCACGCCAACCATGACACCGTAAACCCCTTTATCAATTCCTTTCAGCAAAAATTAAACAACATAAAAGATGAAACAAACAATAACAGTTCAAAGAAGAAATGAAAACTAATGGAACCTCAACAACAGGAGATCCTTTCTATATGCAAACCATTTCAGATGACACACCAGCCGAAGTATAAATGTTGAGGCAAGGCACTGTACTCGCTATGTAACTGGTACTAGTAAATAAAACATAGACTACACGAAGCAGACCAAGCTGATAGATTAATAGGAAACAAGACCAGGAATTTAGTCCATAGTGCTAATTGCGCATCAACCGAAGCCCACTCTCACTCATGATCTCCCTGAAACACCAGATGCCTTCACTTAACAAGCATGCAATTGACACAGATTGAACAGCTACTTGAATTACAAGTTAGATCTAGAAAAGCTCCAATTTGTTATCCACCAACAAAAACAATTTGATAATTAAAAAAACTTGGTTAGAATCTCACAAAAGTAGGTTCTTAACAGAAAAAACTTAATTTATGTCCTGCATATATAGTGACTTAAACAGAGTGTCAGATGATTAAAATGTAATAGGCTACAGCGGCTTGCACCAACACAATTTGTGAGATATAACTTCATTAACCTAACCAATGTCAGGCCATGCTAAAAGCAACTTGGGACGGATCACATCAATTGACAAAAGATCTTGCATGGTTTCTCAATTGAGGGAGGGTGACACTTTAATTGCTCAGAAACCAAAGAGAAGAATATGTACTACAGACATGAAATGTAGTATCATCCATAGACAGAAAGAAGATGTAGCCAGAATTTGGAGATTGTACAAGGCATTTAAAATAAAATATCCCAGCAGCAGTCATTTATTGAGAGAGTTGCATGCTGTTATGGACAAGAGATGTTACAGCTTCAGCTCATTAGGTTGGGTATAAGATGCTGGGAATGATTTTATTTTTGTTTTTGCAGCAACTAGTATTATTATTATTTTTTTTATCGGTAATAGTACTCAATGATTCTCTTCTGACAAACCCCATCAGTTAGTCAAAGACGAAAATCATAAGCTAAAATACTGCCCGGCGTACTATCTGTAGCAGGAAAGAAGTTCCTCTTATATCTAGTAGATGCACCCAGAGAGCTATATACACTTGCATGTTCAAACACTATTAAATCTTTTCTAATCTCTAAATGCTTGAGAATACATAATTTCTATCACATATTAACAATACCAACTAAGGTATTGCAACCAGCATCTGGAGATTTCTCTTTTAGATAGGAAAATGCAATTGCCAATAGATTGAACAAAAACATCGATAGATCAACCATACACATGTATCTATAAAAAGTTTATCCCAGGACCCTGGCTTAACTTTATGTCCCTAAATCAATGCTTAACAACTGTCATTGCAATGGAGAAAAGCTATAATCAGAAGCTATCTCAGAATGTAATACGCAAGCAGCTGATATGGAGAAACCCAATGACAAACCACTTCTGATATTAGCACATCAAAGAGACAGAATTAGAAGAAACTAAAATGTTAATGAATTAATTATTAGCTTTATATGATATAAAGATTTTCAAGCAGCAAGTATAATACCAGAGAATGGATGAGACAGCTGAGTATGCAGTACTCTGCCACGCAGGAAACTAAATGACATGTATCCATTACAGTTACATCGCCTTATGTGCAGCTTCAACAACTTTTACTTGTACATGCAAGTCTTGTTTTGCCTGTAGAGATTAATAAACATTCTATCAGAGTTCAAGAAAAGCAGCAAAGAGGATTTTAGGATTTCCTAATCTTTATGCCAAAGACTGCAGACCGTCTTAACTCTAAATTCTCCAATTCAGCGCTTCATACATAACTGTAGGTAGACCATAATATGGCTACGGGAGCAGAACAAGTACCTGAATCATTTATGAAGCAAAATTTGGGATTTGTGCTCAGAGGGTCAAACATACCAAAGTGGCTTTTGTTATCCTCTCGACGTCAGTTGTCATTGTCAATCGGAGCTCTACTGTGCCTTCTTGTATGTAGAAAAATAATGACACAGCTTTTTGGGCGGACTTTATATCAATTGACATACAACAAGCATCCTACTGATAACTCTCAAGAAAGTGTCTGAGCCAATGACTCGTAATTTTCCTTGATATTTCAGGCAATATCGTTCTTCATAGAAAGGGTTAAACCATTAAGCCCTTACATTCCTTTCTACTCAGATTCCACACCCTAAAATGAGAAAGAAGAGCATCCTGTCAGGCCAGACTGCAATTTAAGCAGATATTAAACTGAAGCATGATATTCAGCATTGTAGAACCATCGGATTCCTCATTTAGTACAGATTTTAGCCAAGTCTGCGCACATCACTCTTTTCCTGTTCAACCCAGCTAAAACCTGGATCCTTAAGCACTTGCTGTTCGATCATCACACTCCTAACATCATTTGCGTCATCCCACCTTCCTAATGATGCATACATATTGGCCAAAAGTACATAAGGAGCAGAATTCTTTTGGTCTAGGCGGAAAAGTTCATCTGCTGCTCTTCTTGCTAAGCTTACATTACTATGAACCCTGCAAGAACTAAGCAGAGCTTCCCAAACCACTGGGTCATCTTTGTATGGCATCTTATTAATGATTGATTCTAGTTCATTAAACCGTCCAGCCCGACCAAGTGAATCAATTATGCAAGTGTAATGATCTGGAAGTGGTGCCAGTCCATGTTTTTTCTGCATTGAATTGAATATAGTAATCCCAGGATCCACCAATCCAGAATGGCTACACGCAGTCAAAACAGCAACAAATGTTATGTCATCTGGTCTGGCACCTGATTGAATCATTTGTCTATAAACGCAAACAGCTTCATCTCCACACCCATTCTGTGCATACCCATGTAGCATCTCATTCCAAGTAACTGTATTTTTGAAAGGCATCAAATTAAAAAACTGTCTGGCCTCACAAATGTTGCCACACTTAGAATACATATCAACAAGTGCACTGCCCACAAAAACATCATCTGTATATCCATCCTTCACTATTAGACCATGAACTGGCTTCCCCTGGGACAAAGAAGATAGTTTTGCACAACAGCTCAACACAGTGGCATAAGAGAATTCAGTGGGCAATGTTCCCTTTCTAAGCATTTCAATAAAAATACTAAAAGCTTCTCCATCCATTGAATTGAAGGATAACCCTGCTATCATAGAATTCCAACAGACAGTGTCTAACAGATGAACCCCATTAAAAACATGTTTTGCACCAGCAACCCTACCACACTTCAAGTACATGCCAATAAGTCCACTACCAACATAAGTGTCAGTATGGAATCCAGGTTTTATCAAGCGGGCATGGGCTTGCCTTCCAGTCTCCAAATGACCTAATGCAGCACAGGAACTCAATAGTATTGCCAATGTAGTTCGATCAGGTTGCACATTTTGAAATTGCATTTCACCGAAAAGATTCACTGTTTCCCTATGGTAGCCATTTTGTGTATATCCTGAGAGTAAAGCATTCCATGAGCTTAAGCTCTGATGTTCCAACCTGTCAAATATCATACGTGCAGTTTTAACATCCCCACACTTAATACAAGCTACAAGCATGTTGATGTGAGTGACATCATCAGGTTCAAAACCACTACTCTGCATCCATTCCATATATTGCATTGCTTTCTCTTTTTTGTCTTTTTGTCCATACCCTCCTATCATAATGTTCCAAGAAACAACACTAACCTCGGATAAATTAGCGAAAGCCATTTCAGCACTGTCCATATCTCCATTTTTGGCATACATGTCAAGCAACGAATTGCTCAGATGAAGATTGTTTTCAAAGCCAAGTTTTACAGTAAGGCCATGAATTTGTTTGCCTGGTACAATATGTAGTTCGCAATCATCATCACTAATTGCTCCAAAGTCCCCACTCCCACCTTTGGCACAAACACCCAGAACACTAGACAATGAAACAGAATCAATTCTAATCCCATTCCTGTGCATCAATTTAAACATGTCAAATGCCTCCTCAATTCGATCAGCCTCAACTAGCCCTCCCATCAATGCAGTGAACGAGATCTCATTGGGCTCCGTCAAGTCCCAGAAAGCCTTAACTGCATCCCCCACCATCCCACACTTTGCATACATCCCCAACGAAGCATTCCCCACATACACATTCGTGTCTAAACCAAGTTTAATAGCAACTCCATGACACTCTTTTCCACACATTCTTTCCCCCAAGCCACCACAAGCACTCAAAACACTAGCCAACGTGAAACGGGTCGGCTCAAAACCACCTAACCTCATCATTTGATATAACTCCAAACTTCTTCTTTCATAACCATTCCGAACCAACGCACTAATCATCGTGTTCCACGACACACTATTCCTCTCGAGCATTCTAACAAAAAGTTCATGGGCATCCTCTAATTGGTTCTCTTTACAATAACAACTTAACATTGCATTGCAAGAGTAAATATTTCTCTGAGGCATTCGATCAAACACCAAACGAGCACTAACTAATTGACCACATTTTGAGTACAATTCAACAAGGCGGTTGGCAAGAAAAGTATCTGCGAAGGCCCCAATACGAAGTATGTGGGCGTGAAGGATCTTCCCAGCAATGTGGGCTTTGTTATTGATGCAGTTTTCCAAAAGGTCAGCTACGTAAGCTGTGGCGGTGGTGGTTCTGGCTAGCATTCTTGGTGCTGAATTTCTCATTAGGCCACCTTGGGGCCAGTAGATTTTATTGTACAAGTTACAAGCTTGTCAATGCAAGTAGAAACTTCAAAAAAAAGCAAGCTGAAGTGTTGCAGAATCTATACTGGTAGTTGGTCTCATAATTGAGCCAGCCCTGCTGCATCAGCTGGTGGAAGCAAAGGAAT